GTATCCGTGGATGGCGAACCTTTACATAACCTGCCCTGAAGGAGTTGGATCTACTGTTACAACTAGATGGCGTTGTCTCATACAGTTTTGAATTACAACAATTTTTTAACTTTTTTTTTTTGAACCAATGATATGTTGGCACATTGTTTGGCGGTTTGCAAGTGGGGGCGAAAGTACAATTGTTAGGGTGCATCTTTAAAACCTCTGCAATATTCATCACGGGACGATTGGCAACGCTTTTTCTTCCGAAACTACCAAGTGAGACCATTTTGATTCTTATATAGGTCACGAAAGCAGCGGCGACAAATCTTTCTGATTTCGGGCGGTCTGGATGACTGCCGGTGACTGAGTCATGTCGAAATTTCTATGGGAATTCGATTTGACCTTTCCCACCGATGTGAAACTTTCTCACCGATGTTTTCTAGGTGTGGAATTGCTATAATATAGACATTTTCCCGCAAATATGGTCAAGCGTGGGAGTTTTTTTGGCCCTCGTGACTTGGTCGGCGACGGGTAGGCGTGGAGGGTAACCCCATCTCCTAGGGGTTTGTGGGGCGCTGCTGCCAGGTAGGCGTCGATGAATACCTTTCGATGGAGGGGTCGCGAGCCACTGCACAGTGTGGCCAAACACCAGATTAGCGCGAATTTAATCAAAAAACGAATTTTGGAATTTTGACTTTTTACAACTATCAGTCGATAGGAAATTGTCCAAAGTATGTCAATATCACAATACTTTGGTTCAATGACTTTCTTTCGGTGTCCAAAAAGCTAGCTAAAGTGGACATACGCAATGCCGGTCCCGGCTGTGCTGAAATCGTCGAAAACCCGCGTCATGTTTACAACACATTTTGGCGTCATTGTCGGAAAGGTTTGGAAATAATTGGAGTGGCATATGACTACTGAGCCTATATTTGATAGTATAACCGAATTCTATAGGTATCCTTGGACTAACCGATGAGTTATGCTCATTTGAAAATGACCTTTTCAAACATCCCCTGAAAACACTGTCCATCTTAAAAACGTAGAGATATAAGAGAATGGCCAAAAAACTCCACGCCAAATCTACCATGAGAAGATTCGCCACACTTTTCTGGACATGACCCATTCAAGAAACCCTGCCCCAACCTGCCCCCCGGCCCTTGGCTCAGCTTTGAACGTATCGGGTTGGCCCGCCCGGGGAGGTCCGGCTACAGGGTGGGCGCGGCGGCGGCTCCGTAACGTTACGCGGATGGCTCAACCGCTGTATTTCTGACTTGTTATATTGCAGAATACGGTCGCCAATGAATAAATCTTGACAATTTTTTCAACCCTCGCCCATATAGGGGGTGAGGGTGGGGGTCGAAAGGACCCCTCTCGGTTTTTCGCAAAAAGCTCATGTAAAAAGTGGCCGATCGCGACGAAACTTTAAGTACCCTCGAGTTTATCAATTTTACACCTACCCATTAAATTTCACGACCCTGACCCCAATGACCTTTGACCTGTGACCTATTTCTCGAGACCATGTTTGGCCGGAAGCGCGATTGGGCGTATGTTTGCTTGCATTAGCCGCGCGTTTGCAGTCTTTTCGTGGTTTCAAGCGTCTAAACATGTGATATTATGATGTTGGTCCCATGCATTATGGTCGGTGTCAAGATCACTTGAAGGTCAGGTCAGTTCAATGACCTTTGATGACCTCGGTTCACCTTTTTTAGTTTTACATGCTTCCAGGCTAGTTTTTGGAGCTGATTTCGAATTTAGTAACCATTTGAACATTTAGGAAGAAGTTTTGGTGCCTTCGTAACATGCAACGAAGCTGTCACTGGCGGTTGACACCTATTAATTATGAATACCCGGCAGGACTGGTTGGCCTGACCTGACCTGACCCGACCTACGTTCGCGGCTAGCAAAACACCAATACGGGCGAGGGTTAATGACATGAAGGTGCTTATGGTGTAAGTCTTTGTTTTTACTCCCATTGCTGAGGTTCAGTCCTATCGGTGCGTGTATTTCAGCAACCATCTACCGATTCATTTGCTTCACCAGGAACATTCACACAAACATAATTAGATGTTGATTTTTTTCAAGCAAACTTTGGGCAATCATGAGAATTTACCAGAGTAATGATGGGAATTTCGTAAACGATTCCTCCTCCTAACATGCCCATCATTGCTGGGACCCACAATTTTATGCCTCTTATTTGCGGTTAAATTCCAGGATTTCGTAATCAGAGTCGGAGTCGTTCGGAGTTAACAGTTCTGACCCCAGTCAGAGTCGGAATCGGAATCGATTTTGGAATCCGGACCAAGACTCGTAGTCTGAGTCACCGAAAATTCATCGACTGCGTGGACTTGCCATGGCTGCGGAGTCAGAGTCCGAGTCGATCGTATAAGTCGACAGTTTTGCCCGGAGTCAGAGTTGAAATTGACTTTTGAAAGCCGTAGTCGGAGTCGGAGTAACTCCATCGACTTCACAGCCCTGGCCTGGTAAGCACATCACCCGTCGTAAGCTAGTTCTCCTTACTTTTAGAGGCGGAACTATGCCATTATATGTCAGCAAGCATTTATAATGCATCGTAAAAGGTCTCACATAGGTTTAAGTGTCAATTTTGAAACCAGGGAACCATTTTCAACGGATCCGAGCAGCGCTGGGAATTAATTCGCGCTAAACTGGTGTTTGGACACACTGTGCACTGGTGCGCGAATAGTCGTGGAGGATAACTACTCTCCAGAGTGAATTGCGAAAGTGTTATGTCCTAAATTGACTCCTGGCAGGGTGGTTAAAAATGGTTGCGGATAGGCACTGGCGGTCGCAGCCGCTAGCAAAAGGGGGGGCCAAAGTCACACTCGCGGGACATAACATTTATCCGTCACCGGGAGGGGGGGGGGGGGTGATCGGCTAATTTTTTACGTCCACGAGGCGCCGCACAGTTGGCATTACTTATGCTTCATCCATCTCATTCTTGCGTGAAATATTTAAGGCAAAATCACTAGTTCCATTTACCGTCTCACGGTGTGCCCACCGGTCGGGCCGCTGCACCGTCCATGACGACGGATCGGTGTAGCATAGGTATACTGGAAGGTCAGGCACGCGGATTCATGACCTTACCACTATAAAACAATTCGGAAAAGTACAGATACATCTTGCTAAAAAGTACAGATACCTCTTGCTTTGAACAAGCATGTGAAACCCAGAGAGCATTTTTAGACTATGACATTTACCCATATAGGTACCTAGTTGTGTGGCGGCGGGAGAGAGTAGGTACACCGGCCTCTGGAGACCCCCACAGGTTCCGAGCTTTCAGAATTGGCATCTGAGGGCCGCGCGCGACTCCTGCGGGGCTTCGCAACGGCTCTGTTGGGGCTCACTCAACCTGCCTAGTCCTACTGCTAAAAAGACTGGCCCTGAGCCCTAAGGACTTCATCAGTCTCTGCCAGCCCCAGGACCCACACCGGCTCATGGGGTCCCGACCTCGAAATATGAGGGAATCAGCGCGGGACCATCAGGACGTAAAGCAATCTCGATCAGGACCAACGTAAGGCTGTGCCGGAGACTGCGTGAGCCCTCTGATCTTCAGAAACCCACCCAATATGTATGTTTTCATGTAGAGGCTAGTTTAGAGCCCTCAGAGACCAGTACAGGGCCTGCAAACTACAAAGGCCAGTAGTTTGAGACCATCAGAGACCGAGTTGGGCTCTCAGAGGCTAATGTGGGTCCTTACTCATTACAGGCCAGCATGGGCCCTCAGAGGTCAGCGTGGGGCCCTAAAAGACCGGCATGAGCCGTCGTTGGACCCCAGAGGCCAGCAGAGGGCCCTCAAAGGCCAAGATGGGCCCTCCTCAGAGGCCAATGCAGACCCTTAGAGGCCGGCATCGGGTCTTCAGCAGCCAGTGCGGGGCCCTTATTGGCACCTAAAGGTTCGTCTTGGGACACCAGAGACAGAAATAAGGCCACCGGAGACCGGTGTGAGACCCTCAGACGCCGGTTGGGACCCCTGAGGCCGGTTAGGGGCCCTCATAGGCCAGATGTGGGGCCTCAGAGGTTGATGTAGGCTCTTAGCGGTCAACGTGGGCGCTTGACCGCCACTGAAGTTCCCTCAGAGGTCAGTGTAGGACGTTCAAAGACCGGTGTGGGAGCTATATTAATAGCTGGGCGTGTTTTTTTTTTAGCCTCGTGACGATCGAATAATTGCCAGGGCCCCATACACCTATATGGGGGCCCATTGGTTGTTTGAGGGGGGGGGCAAATGATATGATGGCCCCCTTTATTGACCTTTGGGGGCATGGCCCTGATGCCCCCCCCCCCCCGGCCCCCCGCGACCGCCACTGTGTACACATTACACACATGCCTCTGAGATTATATACTAGCTCATGCAAACTCTATGCAGGCCCCGGAGGACCCACGCTAATCCTTAAGAAACCAAGCCGGCATACGGCGTCACCACCGGGCTTCTGAGGTGCACAGCACCAACCCATGAGGTCTTACTTTAGTGTCTTGGAGCCAATCTCCTTTAGCAGGGCCCACCCGCCACTGCCGAAGAGGGTCTCATGCCAGCCATTGCTGAATGCTGGGCCTACGAGAGCCTCAAGTAAACCCACGCTGATATTCCATATAAGATCCGGCCATACTCGTGAACCGGTGCCAGCGACGCTGACCGCCAAATTGACAGAATGCGAAACTGAGCCCACTCATGAGTGAAATTTACGTCCTTTGATGGCGCAAGAAATAAAATGAAACATACGAAAAGCTTTTCTAGGACTTTTGTTCGATCTGAAAGGTGGGGCCAAAAGATAGTATGGCCCCACCTTTCAGCACCAAAGGGGGGGCCATGGCCCCCGTGGCCCCCCCCTGCGACCGCCAGTGCGGATAGGGGTACCCGCGAGGCACCGGTTTACTCGCCAGTTTTGGGTGAAATTGTTTTCAGTGTTCCCCAGATGAATTGACGCTCGACTACCCCCACACGCCGAGCTGACTGTCCCTTTCCCAGAAGAGTTGACGCTATAGCCCTCCGTCCCTTTCCTCAGATGAACTGACGCTCGACTACCCTCACACGCCGAGCTCGTGTGACATGGAGCCCGGACAGGTGGTCAGTCCTCACGTGCAACATCCACATCACTTCATGCACGGTGAGTGAGAGCTGAAAATCGTGCAATTTATTTGGTTTAAACGGTGTGAAGATGGTCATTGTAATTTGTTATTTAGTCTTGCAGGGGAGCAGTTAATTCAATTTGTGCTTCCATGGCCTAGCAGTGGTTTTTATGTGTACAAATTAAACTAAAATACAGTTGAGTATAAAAACAAACAAACTAATTTTGTGCATATTTAGCGTCGCAAACCTTACATGCCTTTCATCTCGTCATATCTGAAGCCGTCGTTGTGTCGGCCGCGGCGCACCTAACCGTGACCTTTGACCTCTCCGCCAGGCCCGGGCACCCCTCCGTATGTGCCCGGCACGGGGTCACCGGGGGCAGGTCACCGGCTGGCCATGCCCCCCGCAGTATTCCCACCGTTCGGGGACGGCTCGGCTCTACAGTTCCCGCCGCATCTCGGTACGTTAGAGGATGGGTGGACGTTTATTTTTTTAGTTGTGAGCGAAAAGTTCGCTGGTGAATTCGAGTGAGAGGTATTTCTTCTTTTGTGTCCGATGTGACCATTCATTTACGGCCTTACACTTTGTTATCCAGAATCCAGAAAGTATGTGAAGCACTTCATTGCTTGCTATCGTCTTGCTTTTGCATCTGATGTGATAAGTGATGATTTATGAGATTATTTATGACAGTTTCGCTGCACGACTAATTGAAGCGTGTGACTTGACAAGCTGTTATTCCCGCTTCATTTTGAGAATCACGTCATCAACTTGCTAAATGTTACACTTTAACGTAGCGGTATTAATCGAACAGAGTTCAGATAATCGTACATCTGACGTCGTACTCCCCCCTCCCTTCTGACCGCCGCCCCTGTCCCACAGGCCGGCCGGGTCCGCTGCCTCCTCACATGGCCGGAGAGATAAGCAGCGCCTCCAGCACGGCCGGCTACCCCGAGTTCCCACCCAGCCCCGAGTCGTGGCTGGGGGAGGTGGAGCCGGCGCCTCAGCCGCACCCCTACTGACGGCCCGCGCCCTACCGGCCGTGACAGTGACAGACCGTGACGGGCCGTGTGACAGACCGTGACGGGCCGTGAGGAGACAGCCGATTCCTGGTCCTGAGAGACTAGTGAGCGTGACACTCTTACCTGGCTGCATCTATTACTTGAAACGTGGTTGTGCTGGACTGCTTTTAACTTGTGAGGTATTTAGTAGCACCATTTCTTATTTCCCGTGATATTGAAAGCCATTAGATGTTCCTCAGTTAGTATTTCTTTCTTCCCTGCCAATGTTCTTTGTCTTATCTTCTAAAACTTAAGCTTGTGTCGCAGCGAAGCCAGTCTCCAGGCTGTCAGCCACGTCTCATCAGCATCCATCTTTAAATTCTCTAACGAGAGCTACATAGCCATGGGAAACCAGTGCAATCTTCGACATTTGTCCAACTGAGAGACAAAGCCCTTGCCTCCGTACAAGGCTCGCAAACAAGGGAAACACTCAGTCGACGGGCGCGGCGCTACGGGCTGCTTCGCAGCAACACCTCCGCTTCATATCGGGCCCTGTGGCGCCCCCTGCACAGACCTCCTCCCTGCGCTTGGAGGCATGACTGCTAGCGTCACCTATAAACTTGTGCGCCACGTGATAGCGGCGCCTAGCGGTGACCGGAGGAACTATGGTGTCGGTCAGACTTGACACAGACATTGCACAGTAGCGACAAGCGTTGCGTGGACATTTCGTGTGTAAATTATTGTGTGTATTGTATTGAAGTCAGTGAATGGAGCGCCACAGTGTATTTGTTTGATGGGACAGATATTGAGAGAAGAAATCAGGGCGGCGTCCAGTGTTTAGCCGGTCTCACAAGAAAAGCGCATTCCCTAGGCAGTTAGGCACCTTCGCGCAGAAATGCGCTAAGTACCAGCCTTAAGGTCTCAGAGCATGATTATATACATCCTCGCCGAGTCGAGCTTGAGATTTATGTGCCGTGCAAAGCGACGGTTTTTCAATCGAGTTGAATGATCTCAACATTTAATTAAGGACGCATAATCATAATTATGTACCCGAATTTAAACATGCATACAAGAAGTGTCTAGTCAATTCTAATCATGCGCACATTATTTATCATTGGTGTCATGTATATTGTTATATTTCATATGAGACATAGCCGGTAATGCGTGGTATCTATGTCGAATTGTTGTAGGTACTTTTCATGATTTTCAACAGGAAGCTTGTGAACTTTGTGAATAAAGAAGTGTGCAACTATCACTCAAACCATTATGTAGAGAATGAACCATCGCAGCTTTGACGTTACATAGGTGAATTTCTGCAACTTTTACCATCTCTTTATAAACCTAAGTTACACATCCATAAAATACTCGCTGGAAGTGTGCGATTCTCTAAACTCCAACAATTCTACCGCATGCACCCATCTATAGAATGACGTGTGTATGGCCACATGTACTGTTAGCACTTAATGCTGTTTTCATATCACATACCATGACTTTGTGTCTGTGTGTGTGTGCGTGGTCATCAGAATTCAGATGAGTCGTCGCCTTTTTGTGTTACCACAACAGTCAACTGAGCGGCGATTGGTGTCCTCTGGGGTTCAAAGGGAGGACCATAGAGGACTGAGACATGCCGTCTTCTGTGCGTATGCCGTATATTGATTGATGGAATGGAGTCGATATGCCTGTCGTGAGTATGTGTGTGTGCATCGTCTGTGGGTGACTATGCTGTACGAACAGCTGACCTGCCGACAATACAGTGGAATGTGTGAGCGGAGTGTATCAGCGGGCGAGACGACGGATTCATCAGCTAAGGAAACGTCTGCGGGCATTTCTAAACTAAAGTAGTCTTGTGGAGAGGAACCAAGGAAGATGTCGGGGTTTTGAAAGGATTTAGATGTCAAACTACTAACTAAAAACCACGCATTACGCAACTGAACATATCCAAAATTCGCTTTTACTTTCGAGCAAATATGCAAATAATAAAACACGTCAGTGGCAACACAGTTTGATAAAAGCGTATAACATAACAATCACTACGTTTCCATGACACGTCTAAATCGATTGAGCGAAATTTCACGTGCGTTTTTCTCGGAAACTATTTACCTTATGCAAAAAATGTATATATGGTTTTAGCTAGCACTTAATCCTATATTTACATTTTTAAATTATGCCTAAATGCTATGATGGAGCAAATCCATTTTTCGAAATCGGCTTAGCTTGTGTCATGGAAACGTAGCCAATGCTACATTAATCTGGCGCCAAAAAAGTACTGTCATGCCTACGAGTATGCTTGATCCAGTTTTTTTTTCGTCAGAGCTCCAAAAATATTATTTCATCTTTTAGTTACCTTATAAAATGTCTCCAGATTCTATTTAGCCAGTGTTTATTATGCTATCGCCGTTTCGCTGCAAACATCACCTGCCAACTAACCGGTGTGTTCCAGCGTCTTTATCAGCACTGCAACTGTACCACATGACCTCCCTCCAATCGAGGTGATCTTTCGGCCACTGTCTCTTGAGCTATAATTCTTAAGTTAACAATAATAAATACAACAAGATACATTTACGAGATCATGCCGTCTAACAACTTCCACATATAACACTTGCAAAGCTTCTCAAAAGCGAAGCTTGCTTTCCCCAGCAGAAAATAAGCTTTGGTATAGCTCACGATCCTCCGACTGGCAGCCGTCAGCTATCGAAGTCTTCGCCGAGAGAAAGTATCGTTTCGCTCTTCTGTTTCAGCTTGGCAATGACCTGTGGACAAAGTTGTAAGAGTGTGGTAACTACTATGGACGTCAAACCCCTTGAGACCCCACTTTTTTGCGATAATTTTTAAACGCGTCGACTCTCGTTGACAATATTCTGGCAATGTGTGTTTTAGAACCTGCCGAAACTTTTATTACTAAGGTATTTTGACGCCAAACGATTATGAAAGGTACTTCTCATTCACTCGTAATGTTAAATTTCACGGAACGAATCTGCTGTTTGGGTAGAGGCTACGCGCTAATGGGGCGGAGCCACGCAATGACGTCAGCGCTAAGCTCCGCCCTACCCCTCCGGCGCTCCTTGCCCGGCGACCGGTCACTCGCGTCTCTCGCTCCATTCAGGCTTGATGGTGGGCGGTAGCTGGTAACGGTAGCGGGCGCTGGTAGATGGCATTTAGAGCAGATGGCGCTGGTGGCGGGGCTCGAGTGTGGCCGAGCGCAAGCCTCTGCCCGGGCCTGAATTGACCTTAGCATTACGAGTGAATGAGAAGTACCTTCCATAATCGTTTGGCGTCAAAATACCTAAGTAATAAAAGTTTCGGCAGGTTCTGAAACATACATTGCCAGAATATTGTCAACGAAAGTTGACGCATTTAAAAATTATCGCAAAAAAGTGGGGTCTCAAGGGTTTTGACGTTCATAGTAGTAAGTGGTAACGTATGTGTTTATCATGCTATTCATTACTATTGATTTCGATTAGATTGTAGTTTCATCGCTCGGCAAAGAAGGTAGACACACAAGTTAAAAATAAACGACTGTAAATAAGAGAAGAGAAAAACGTACTTTACATCCCTAGTTCAGGAATTCAGCAAATAGCTGATGACCTTATATGTGTAACATTTTGTCAGTCCGTACGTTTTTGAGTCGGGTGATCTCCTTGTTGTCGGCGTTGCGGGCGGCCGAGTTGGTGATCTGTTTGACCCGCGAGGCGTACTGCAGCGAGGTCAGCGTCTCGTCCAGGTTGTACTGCGCCGGCGAGATGTTGACGAACATCAGCGTCTTGGCGTTGCCGCCCAGACTGTCCTGCATCAGCATCGTCAGCTTGCTGTTCCTGTGGAGCACAGAGGGAAAAGGAGTTCAACATGCGGAACAAGGTCTGGAGGAAATTTGTACGGAACAGTTACGGATAAGAAAAAAAAGAATGTTATAGAATAAAATGAGAATAAGTGCTTCAATCCATCTGTGTGTTCGTGTTTAGATCCTACTCACAGTTAGCACTTATTATTTTGGAGTGTTGTAAACGATTTGATACCTTGCGATACGATGATCCAGATAAAATCACAGCAGTTTTGTTCAGGCTTCCTTGCTGTAGCATTAGATTAGAGGTCTGCAACGACGCAGATGCCCATTCGAGGTCATAAAAGCTGCACGCAGAATTCCAAAGTCTACACGTGACTCACCTGTACGGAATAAAGTTCTGTCCCGCCGTCAGTGACGAGATGACATCCGCCAGCGCCGAGAGCGACTTGTTGATGGCGTTGGCCTCCCGCAGCTGGTCGGCGTCGGCGCCCGACTTGGCGGCTCGCTCACTGCCGGCCAGGTCCAGCAGGCTCAGCTTGCCGCGCGTCACGGCGCCGTTGACGCGGCTGGTGGCCTCCACGGTGACGCCTATGACCAGGTGCGAGCGGGAGCTGGCCGCGTTCATGCGCGTGGCGCCGGTGCGCCGGGCGCCGACGGCACGCTCAAACAGCAGCTGTAGGTGGGCGGCGTCCTGGCAGGGCAGCAGCGCGGCGCCCGAGACCACCACCGTGCCGCGGCGGTCCTTCTTCACCTAGTGGATGGCGGGGATTGGAGTGACGAACACTCAAGGCATGACACAAGAAAAGTTATTTTTCGTCCCTTTGGAATGGTTAGCTGATTTAGTGAAAACGTTCATTCGATAATATGTGCTTGAACTATTATATACCTAAGCCTTTGGTCGTTTTCAAACGGTTAATGTCACGTTTTTAAATCACTGGACATAGAATCGTCTAAGTTCAAACCTTTTAGCACTTCTTAACTTTGATTTCTTCAAGATGTTTGCAGCTAATCTCCAAGAATACTCAGTCAAACTGACCGCCCGACCCACCTCGAGTTTCTCGTCTGTGCGCGCTCCGGCCGGCGCCAGCAGGTCGACCAGCCGGTCGTTGTACAGCTCCAGCATGTAGGTGCTGATGGCGCAGCTGGTCTGCGCCGCGCGCGCCTGGGCCAGCTCGAAGAGCCGCCGGAAGGCGCGCGGCGCCACGCCCGGCGCCTGCTCGTCTCCCAGCAGCGTGTGCGTCTTCCCGGAGCCGGTCTGGCCGTAGGCGCAGATACACACGTTGTAGCCGTCCATACTCGACTGGACTAGAGACTGACGGCGAGATACAGGCGGAGTCAGTGTTGGCTGGGAGTGGAGGAGAGACATATAGGATCATTACCGACTGTCAGGGACATGTGAGATCAGTACCGACTGGGGAAGGGGAGGAGAAAGGTGGGGTCAGGGCATGGTGACCTTTCGGCATCTAATATGAAGTCTTCCGAGTGACCACTGGTCATCAGCTGAACCCTTCCCTTTACAGATGAGCAGAGGCGTCGTGATTCTAAAAATATCATTAGGTTTTATCACATTTGTTCAAAGCGGGAGACTCGTTCGTGTACCATGACATCTAATCCGAAACAAAATATATTTATATTCTTACGAGACATAAGTAGTAAGTACCATGCTGATGCATCTCCGTTAAGTGGAAGTGAACGGAACATGAAGAAATGGGGAGCGAACTCACTAACGATTTTCAGCGAAGACGTCTGACGCCTTGAGTCTGACGCCAGCGACACGGGACGACTGTTTCGGAACGATGCACTGGTGTGTGCACTGACGCTTGAGTCTAGCGTGTCTCTGTGAAATTCCGATTCGACTGAAGCGCCTAACGGAGAAAGCATGGCAGTTCGCCCGGGTGACTTGGAGTTCCACTCGACGGCGTGTGGACACGCATGACCTCGTTGGACCGTAAGCAGCAGCTCAGTTGTCTTGGTGAATGAAAGGTCGGATGTGTAGATAGAAACCGTGCAACAACGTCCATGACAAAATTGTTATGTGCCTACCAGACGAAAAGATGTTCAAATTGAATATTGGAACTTTGGAGTTGACCGTGATACTATTTCATTCACCACATAATTTTTCGGTTAAGTGCACCCGATATAATAGTAAATAACTGATTATTAGGCGGCAATTAGGCGGCAAGGTGCAAGGTGCGTCGCCATGCGGCCCCGTTCCGGCGCAATAACACAGTTTGGGCATGACAGTGATGAGCACGGGCAGACATCTTAAAAGTCATAATATGCTTGGTGCCCACTAAATTTTACGTTATCTATTATAACGATAATAATGATATACATTTGGTGGACACCAAGCCTAGGTGAAGCGGACCTTGGTATTTTAAACTTTGATTGGGATTGATTGGTCCAGGGATGTGCCGTCAGCACACGCTCGCGGGCACCATAGGGTTAACACGTGAAACGGCCAAAACGGCGAATGGACGAAAATCGCCTGCCCATTGTTCGATATTCGGCGATTGTTTGGCGATTGTTTGGCGATATTGTCCGATTGCCAATACCTCACTAATGCCCGCACATCTTATTAACCCTGGTCCCTGGACAGTATCCAGTGGCGGATCCAGGGGGGGGGGGGCAAAATGGGCATTTGCCCCCCCCCCAAACGGCATAATTTTAACATTACGCCTATGGACGATGCATGGAAAGAATCGATAAATTGTTATGGTTCCCCCCCCCCAAACCTCTGAGCTGGATCCGCCTCTGACAGCATCCACCTGTCTGTTTCACCGACAGCCAGGAAGTCAAACGGAAGGCTGATCCACACCAGCTCTGAGCTCTCTCTCTCTCTGTCTCTAGCCGCGTGCGTCGGACTCGTTTCCGCGCCTCGGTAACGGACCGGACACGCCCCGGGCCAGAATGGTGGCATTTGTCGCTTCACACCGTCCGCACACGGTTCCGCTCCAGGGCGGACACTGCCGTCCGCGCGGAGCAGGCGGAATGCGGTCCGCAAGGTGGTGCACGAGCGCGGAGGGTAGAGGAAGGGGAGCGGAAGACAGAGTGGGGAGGGGAGATGTTACGGAATCAGTGGCTGAACTGAAACGGTGGTTGAGATTGATGGTGTCTGTAACAATTCCAGGCCTTTGCAATGATCACTGTGAAATGGCGAATAAGCATGAATCCGAACAATTTACGTTACGACGGCTCATGAATTAGCGGCATGAATGCGATTTATTTTATGTTATGATATGCACACAGTGCTTGGAGGAACAATAAAGTCACTTTTAATGGGATGTATTCAGTTATTTTGCAAGCCGCTGGAGCGGAAGATTTAATTATTCAAATACACCAATGCAGATATGTCGAACTTTCGTAGTGTAGCATTTTATCTGCTTTGTATTTATGATAAAATAGTGTAATCATCCATCGTCCCTCACCTCGACCTCGTCGAAGATGCGCTGCTGGCTGGTGTCCTCGGTGAAGACGCGGTCGAACTGGAACTCTCGCTGGCCCTTGTCGCCGCCCACACAGAGCGTGTACGGGTCGGCGCAGTCGATGGGCGCCGCGCCGCCCTGGCGCCGCTCGGACTCGCTCAGCGGCCGCAGTCGGCAGAACACCCGGATGCGGCCCTTCAGCTCCTCCATCTGGTTGAAGTACTGTTTGCGCAGCGTGCGCTCGCGCTGCAGCGAGTCGGCCAGCAGCCGGCGCTCCTCCTGAAGCCGGCCCAGCTCCGACTCGCAGTCGCTGAGCCGCACCAGGCGGCTGCTGTGCTCGGCCTCCTGGCGCAGCACGCGGCTCAGGTCGTCCTTCAGACGGGTGTTCTCCGCCTGCAGCGCGTCCAGGTCCAGCTTCAGCATGGCGTGCTCCTCCTGTCTACAAGCCAGCTGCTGTTCGGTCAGCTCGCAGCGGCGCAGGCTCTCCTGGAGCCGCGCCTCCAGCGCGCGCAGCTGGGCAGAGTCGGCGCGCAGCTGCTCCAGCTCGTTGCGCTGGTTGTGCAGCTGCGTCTCGAGCTCGCCGATGCGCCGTTGCTGCTCGACGTCTCGCTCGGTCAGCTCGGAGACGCGGCCGGTGAGCCGGCGCAGCTCGGCGCCATCCGGGCTGGTCACCTTGTAGGTGCCGCGCCGGTCCACGCCGCCGCTCCGCCTGCTCTCGGCCGGCGGCTCGTCCTCAGCCGAGCCGGAGAAGGACAGGTTGGTGGTCAGGCTGCTGGAGTCGAGGGTGGCCGCAACGCGCCGGCCGCCCGCCGGCGGCTGCTGGTCCAGCCGAAACTGCACGCCAGAGCTGCTCAGCTGCTGCGTGAACTCGGACAGTTTCGACTTGAGCGAGAAGTTCTGCAGCGTCAGCTCGTCCCGCACCCGCTCCAGCTGCACCTGCAACAGGGACACGGTCCGCTGCACACGCCAGCTGCCGGGTCGGCGCACCTTCACCGCCATCAGGTCGCCAGAGCCGCCCATCACCCCGCGGTGACCCCGCGGTCAACCACCGAAAACAGTCAACGCTTGTCACGAAATCGCGGGCTCCTCACCAGCCACAGCACGACACGTTAGCGTGAGATTACCGCGACGCAGCAGAGGCATGAAGTGACGCAGCTGCGACGTGCTCTGGCGTACCAATTACGAACAGCGTCACTGTTAACTCGTGCAACGACTGATTCAAGAACAGCACAGACGCAGCAAAAACAAAACAGGCACTACTCATGAGACGCAAGAGCGGCTGTGGCAGCCTCACCAAACCCTGGACACGACTGGGCTCCCGTGTGGACCAAGCCTGCACGATCCGGGGCCGACGCGACGTGTTCTCACACTTTTACTGTTAGGCGTCGGCTGTCGACTGTCGGTAATCGGTCTGGCCGTACCGTGCGCCACGAACGCCAAGCGAAGCGAGTCGCGCGCGTCGCTCCCACGGGTAGCCATCAAACGATGTAACGCCGCGAGGTAGCGGGCGGCCGCGAGGCGTTTATTGCGTTACCGCTTGTGGCGAAGATGGGCGGACCGCAGGCGGAATGGGGATGGCACAGATGGCGGCCTTGAGATGTGAGAAATATAGCGCGACGGGGATGACCATTGGGGACAAACAGGTGGGGTAAATGGAGCCAGACGGCTGTGGGAGAGTTGAAATGGGATGTGTGGTGAGCTTCAGTGAGCTGAACGGGAAATGACAAGGATAAGATCCATAGCTAATATTTAATGGAATTATTACCTTTGGAACAATAGATAATGACCAGCCACGGAATGCTTGGTGCATGGGAACTTAGGGACCTCGGTGCATGTTGAAACATACAAATGACTTGAAAGCAGATGATGTTACACAATGCCAGCGTAGAGCACACACAGCAAACATTGACACTGTCATGTCAAAGGTCATTTCGCAATACATTTTTGTCAGCTAGGCAATTCAGGGTCGTCTCCAACTGGTAGAGGTGTGAGTACTTTTTCAAGCAAGTGTCAGAGAGATAAATATCAAAACAACAATCAAAACAATATCCCTCTTCCTCCCTCCCTCCCTCCCTCAATCCATTACTGTCTGTCAGCTCTGTCTGTCTGTCTGTCTCCCCCCTCTCTCTCTCTCTCCTTACCACGCTGCTCTGGAGCCGGAAGATCTCTCGGGCCGGATCGAGAGGGATCTTATCGAGCCGCGCTCTCTCCAGCTGCAGTACACGGCCGCGCAGCTGGGCGATGGTCATCTCACGCAGTTTGAGCTCGTCCAGCAGTCGGTCAGAACTGGCCAGAGAGGCCAGCGTCTCCAGAGAGGCCAGCGAGGTCTCGGACTCGATGTGCAGCGACTCGAGCTCGCTGGCGACCGGCTGCCGGCCTTTGGGAACGTCCAGAGACCTAGAAGAACAGTGATGAACATGTATCAGGCATGGTGATGATATAAGCGTATCTTTTCCGCAAACGACCGTTATAAAGCACTGAGTCGATGATCTGGACGATGATGTTTGACGAACAATGTACCATCGATGGTTTTCAATAACTTACCAATTTACTCGATTTCTCAACACATTTCTTGAAATGCCTGTGAACGGTGAAAATCCGACCTTTGACCTGACCCGTGACGTCATCAGTTTGACCTAGGTCAATGAAATTTGGTCACAAGGTAGTTCCCCGGTGGGGCTATCCAACGCCGTTTGAATTTTGAAAATCGGCCGGTAAATTTCCGAGATCTTAGGGGGGCCGAAACGCCCCCCCCCCCCTACGGATGGTATAGGGTCCACCGGTAGCCCTACGGAGCGCGGGTTAACGATGGAAAATAAGTAAAACAGCTGATGCAATTCGATGCTACAATTCAAGGAACATTCTGCGATTATATCAGCACAAAACAATGCACAATCGCCGTGTGTAGAAAGCGTCTGGGAGTTGGGACAAATGTGACCGATCCATCTCATTGTTGCGCTGGCGCTCGTCATCCCCCATGCTAGCGATGATCGAGGTTACCTGCCATTACCTGTTATACGGCCCGTCGGCAGCGGGCAGCGTCAGTAGAGCGTGTGATCGTTTCCCACGGACCGCAGCGTGAGCGGCTGGCCTGCGGAGACAATAATAACCGCAGAGCCACTAACCCGAGTCCGTGACATGTGGAGTATCGCTCCAGTGGATCGATATCAGTTGGAGGCTCAGTGCCAGCTGTGTGCTAATTAAAGAGAGTCATAGAGAAAGCGGGTGATATTCGTTTGTTTCAATTAATGTCGTCAGTGAATGTCTTTGTCTGAAATTTGTGCGTCATCGATTATGGTCTGTGGTACTTGCTCTAGCTTGGAATGGTAGATAGACTAGAAAGCGTCTCACCAGGCGCACCGAGCTCTGACCTGCGTGACTGAACTGGCGGTGTTCTGGGACTGAACTGCTACTGCCTGCTTCTGTTCTCTGACCGACCTGCCGTTGCTCTGTGACTGACCTGGGGTTATTCTCTGACTGACCTGAAGTTGTTCCGTGACTGCAATAGCGCTGAACCGTCACTGCCCTGGCACTGCTCTGCTACTGACCTGGCGTTGTTCTGTAACTGACTGACTACCCTCTGACTGACCTGACGCTGTCGTCTAACTGGCCTGACTCCGTCGTCTGACTGACCTGGCGTTGTTCTGTAGTAGCTGCAGCTGCCGGCGGGTCTTTCTGTGCGCGCACCGCTCCAGGTGCAGCAGTACGGCCGGCTCCAGCTCCGCCGGGTGAGGAGAGCAGGGCGCCGCGCGGCGGCCAGCCTCCGGCCCCTCCGACAGCACCGTACGCATCGCCTCCAGACTGTCGGGCTCGTGGCCGTCCGTGCCCGAGTCGTGCTGAGAGCCGCCTGAGAGGCGGAAGGAGACGAGGGACGGTGACAGCGCCAATTGTAACAGATATGTGGACGAGGGACGAAGACCATGTCTGCAATAGCTCTACTGGAATTACTGAAACTACATTTTTTCCTTTATCTGGAAATAATGATGAACTCCGTCTTCCTATCTCCTTCTTTTCCATTCTCTCTCTCTCTCTCTCTCTCTCTCTCTCTCTCTCTCTCTCTCTCTCTCTCTCTCTCTCTCTCTCTCTCTCTCTTTCTCTCTCTCTCTCTCTCTCTCTCTCTCTCTCTCTCTCTCTCTCTCTCTCTCTCTCTCTCTCTCTCTCTCTCTCTCTCCCTCACTCCCCGTGTTTCAATCGTGACATCTCGTCTCGTCACGTTTCGTCTCACTGCGTCTGATCACGTCACGTCCGGCAGCTCCCGTCACGTGTCTCAGGCCGTTATCAGGACACCTGCGTCACGTATCGTGTCGTCGTCACGTCACGGCTTCACGTCACGAGAGTCAGCGTGACGACTCCGGCGGCACTGCGGTCATCCAGGTCACTGGCACCTCGACATCGGTCAGCGGCGATCAGGAAGGCGACGTGCTTTGGTGCTTGTTATGAAATCATTTGAAAATTGATATTGATGGTCGAAGATTGGTTTCATTCTCGTTAGAGCCGTGACGAGTTACGATGTGATTTTAGTTAGCGGGATGCAGAAATGGTGGTAGAGCAGCCCACAAAATAACTGAGCGGAACTAACTAAAGCCGAAACATTTGGCGTCGGCGTCGTCGACCGACACCGGAACATCTCGTTCCGCGTGCCCACCGAGCACGACACACAATGTGTTTCTAAACGAGTTTAGAGTGTTATTCGAGTTTCCCGATCCGAACGAGTACAACAAAAAGGTTCTAGCTCAGCTAAACCGTTGAGCCGTGAAGTGTTGTGGATGGTGAGGTTTTGTGAATGGGACTAGCAGTCGAAACGATAAAAACGTTTTTAGACACAGGCTATGCTACCCTCCCCGAATAACAAAACACTTCCCGAATAAGACATGTAAGACCTTCGAATGGGTGGCTGCAATTTTTTTTTTGAAAAGCGTTTTAAGTATAAACAAACTTATTTGGGAATTGCTGCCGCGCTTAATAGCGCCTAAGCAAATCACAAATCACGAACAAGTCACAACGTTGTGTTGAGTGACGTTGGTATTTTTATTGATCCTACAACTCTTACTCAGCTGCCTATAAAAATATCGCTACTTGAAGCTTCGTCACTCCCTTCACACATCCGTCTTCGATACCTTTTCATTCCCGCAATGGCCGTGGGAACTTGTGGCTCGCGACATCGATAGGCTATAAGTGATAACACGTGTCTGACAGCCGGCACCGTCCGAACACGCGGCCAACCGGTATCATTACAGCGCTGGTCGGCCCACATACGCGGAAACCGTGAGGATAGCGACCGACATTCAACTCGAGCGCCGGATCGTGGTCTCAGGACCGCGCGACGGGCAGGTCGGCAACGACCGCGACGGTGACTCGCTGGCACGTCGGTGGCTTGGACGAATAATAGTCGGTCTGGTACGAATTAAGGTCGCTGTGGGACGAACTGGGAATGGTCGAGCTGTGGTCAATCCAGGACAAATTTTGATAGAGTGGTTCAAACTGTGGTCGGTCTGAGACGACCTGTGGAATATGGATGGTTTAGGATGAATTGTGGTCTATTTGACGCGAAGTGTGGTCGAGATGAGACGAAATATGGCCGGTCTGCAGCAAGCTTATCGTGTGCTTGGGTCGGTCGGGACCAGCCTTGCTCAAATAATAACAGGCCATGCTCGAGTCGGGACGAGCATTGTTCAGTCATGATTCAGACTCCAGCGGGGACCGACTACGCTCGGTCGGGCACGGATCGGCCAACCCAGGACGAACCGGGTCACCGCGGGTAGGGGTGACCGCGTCGGCGACCGACACCGGAACTGTTCGTTCCGCGTGCCAGCCGAGCACGACGCTCGACGGACGGGTCAGCTGTGGATCACGGATCAGTTCCGTGGACAACAGCGGGTTACCGCGGGCCACTGCGGACCGGCGCGGACTGATACAGGCCGAAACAGACCGAGACAAACCGAAACAGATCGATATTCGATACAGACCGACTCAGGCTGGTACATACAGTCACCGAAACAGACCGAGGCAAATCGGTACAGAGCCGATACAGACCGAGGCAGATCGATACGGACAGACACAGATCAGCAAGAGCCGTTTTCACGACAGTCTATCTGGCGAATGCACCTAATTTGACCAAATCTAAGTATAACAGATAGCCGTCGTGAAAACGGCTAATGTCTTCGCGAAAGTATAGACGTTTATTGGTGTAGAGCTATTTCGCTTTGCTTGTTACTTGTTACCTTTTGCTTCCAGCAGTGCCTAGCATTTTTTTTTTTGGGTGACATTTGCGGTTGAGCATTATTGTAATTTGTAACCACTGCTAGACATACATACATTGTTTGTCGTAATTGAATATTGCTGGTGGTCCCACGCTCATATCACGCCAAATTCCTTTTCAATAGTTGTATACCTAATGCTGTCTTTGAATTAGTGAAGAACACAGTATTTTAAAGACACGGTTTACCTGCTGGCATTTTGTTTCCTTCTTTTTTATACCTTAGGCCGGCTTTGAAAACCTTAGCAGCTTGTAAAAATTAAAGCTGTTAAAAGACAACTTCAAATAAAGTATCGTCTATTTCACTACAAACATTACCAATACAACCCGGGTCAGGGGGAAATAATTGATCTTTCGATCAATCATAACGAAGAGATTTTTTTGCCAAAAACAAAACAAAAGACAAATACAGATGAGCATCTCGTTTGGTGATTGATACCAAGCATGCTATACTTTATCGTAAATAAAACGTCGCTTCCATAAAATAAGGCAAGGACAAAATGCAGATGTCGTTGGACCCAGGTCAGGCCACAAACCGTCCAGTGTTCACTGTCAGGTGGCCATTAAATTCACCTCTTCGTAAACCTACGGACATGCAACGTGCATCGTAGCTTTATAACGAAAGAAAGCCTCAAATGGGCATCAGATAAAAAAACGTTTGACTGCCGTAACACTTTTCGCGCAAGTTTCATGCAAAAGTAAGTCCCACCTACCTGGTCGCAGTGATTTGAAGTAGCTGGCCAGCATTGACCTCGATGAGGTCTACCGCGGGCGGCAGTCGAACCTCCAGGCCGCCGAGTCCGGATAGAGCAGGCGCTGGAAGGCACCATCCACTGGGGGCTATGGTCGCGAGAATAGGTCTTCGTTTTGTAGATAATGATATAACTGTGAGGATGGTTCACTCTCAAGTCTCGAACCTCACGCAAACTTTCAGCAGCTCTGTTGCAACTGTTCTGTGTTACTGTCTGTCACAATGGCCTTCTCCACTGATGGAATTGTCCTGTCAGCTGATTCGACTGGCCATTCCACTCCCGTGTCACCTGTTTCGTCTCCTGGCAATCCAAGACGTGTCCTTCCGACCTGCGAGCCGGTAGAGTCCGTCCGTCCGTCCGTCCGCCTTTCACGCGCCCCAGTAGCGGACACCCGGACTGCGGACAGCTCGGGGAAGGCGTCTCACTCAGCTGGAGACAGCGGCCCGACTGAAGTGGCCCGCTCCTGTGCCGGCCGGCCGGCAACGCGACAACGCGGAGCTAACAGTTTCTACGGATGGTGGGGACGGGCCGCCGCGCTGGCAGGTCGGAAGGTTAAAGGCAGAGGGCGGAGGGCAGAGGGACGAAGGAGAGGGACAAGAGTGGAGGGCGGATAGCGGAGAGTGGAGCGTTGATTTGTGGAGGAAGTTGCAGCCATTGGCAAGAGCGAGAGGTGGAGAGAAAACGTCAAATAACGGGGTCACAATTTGGAAGGTAACGGAAGAAAGCAACGTTTTTTTTCGGCTCCCGATCTTGCTAATGACAGACCTAAGAGACCTTTCCACTCTTTTTTCTTGATCTTGATTTCTCATGAATATGTTTAAAGTCCTTCGAAATATGTGCGCTTATCTATAATTATAGCTAGTTCGAGCTAACGCCTACCTATGCCTTGATTGGTTCGTAAAACGGTGACACATCCAAGCCTCTTGGTCTACTTATATGCCCTTTTAAGGTTTATTTTGCATAAAGGAGTGAAAACGGTGAGAAAGTGAACCGGGATTGATTGTTGGCTTGGTTATGTCGCCCTTAACCCTATTCCTGGCGGGGGGGGGGGGCCTCAGGAGCCCCCCTGAGGTTTTTTGGTTATTTCTCCCAAACGCGTTGAGCTAGGAAGCTCAAATTTTCTGACTTTTCCTAAAAGGCTTCTACGCAACATGTCTGAAAATTTTGAGTTGATCTGACCTCAGGTCAGGTCACCAGAGGCGGTTTGGTGACCCTACCTCAGAAAAGTTTGCAATCACGCCAGAGCTAGAGTTTTTGACCGATCAATTTCTTCTCTTCAGGCTTTAGTTAGGGTACCAGTATGTGCAATTTGTATATCTCGGAATTTTGATATCGGTGACCTAAGGTCAGGTCAGTTTCGCGACCTCCCCATTATAAGTCAATGGGGGAAAAATCAACTCCCTGTTTTTACCACTAAAACGGGTCGGAATGGCCCCATATACCATACATGACTTCATATACGATCAACCTTCACTACCTTGAGGTCTGTTTTGCTGTTGGGCAGCTGTGAGGTCATGTGACGTCATCAAAGGTCACCAAAGGTTTTTGGCCAATAACTCCGTACAGGAACAAGATACAGACGCGTGGATGGTCTCATTGTGTTCAGCTCGTCAAGACGCATCGAATGATATACATGATGACCTCGAGGTCACGTGACCTGAGGTCAACCTTTGACCTTGACCTTTCGAGGTCAACATATATATCATTCGATGCGGATTGATGAGAGGATCACGATGATGCCCTTAGTTTGTTCCTATCTTGACTAATTCGAAAGTTATTCGAGAAAAACTATCTCCATATCTAGCGCCGCCATTTTGACTTTTTCGACCCCTGTGACGTCATCTTTGACCTGACCTGAAAATGACCTTAGTAAAAATTGTAGATCTTGACCGTGCGTATCCGATGCCGTTTACCGTTTGTCGCTGCGATGTGTAGTTTTTGAGATCTGAAGGGGGGGCCGAATCGCCCCCCCCGCCAGTTTCTTGTCCCGGCGGAGCCCGCCAGGAATAGGGTTAATTACGGAGCGAGCGAAGCGAGCGGAGTCTTAAGCCGGGTTCACACCGGTTTTCCGGTCCGGAAAAATTCCGTCTGCCGGGCCGGCACCAAAATGTTGAAATTGTCGCTAGATGTCAAAAAAGTCGCTAGAACCGGAAAACCGGAAAGTCGAGCCGGAAATGTCATAATCATCAACCATCAAGTACGATAAGTAGGTACCAAGCAATCTCGCGAATTATTTTGAAATCGAACATACATGTGACGGCTTTACAAGTCCCTGATGCATTTCCACCCAACCGAAAATCATCCATACTTCACTGGTAGGTATATTAGCAAGATTAATACAATTTAACATTTACAGCATGCGGGCTGGGTATCGACAAAAAGACACTAATAAATTTCAATCGCGCTTTGGCTGTTGTTGGTTTAAAAACACTTGCGAACAAAGAGAAATTGAGGGCTGAGCAGGGCGCATTAGAGACGGCGAGCTTGATATTACGCTTGCTGATGTAGATGGCTGGGTCTCAAAATCGGTCATCTGACTGTCACTGAACTTTACTGCCATAACCCGCGCCCCGCTGGGGGTCCTAAATTTCCACGCCTTGCTGGTGGGGGTGTTTAACATCCCCCCTTTTAACTCGGCTCCTGGGCCACGTAGCGATACGGGGAAGGCGGCGTTCGAAAGAGTGTCAAAATTAATGACGAAATTAATTCGGTCACTTTTTTTGGTCAAGTCAAAGGTCAGGTCACCAGAGGTAATGGAAAGCCGAATTTCACCGATTTTTAGGTCGAATGTCGACGATTTACAACAAGCCAACGCATAACTTGGCATCAATTTTCTCCCATTGACTTATAATCAGGGGGGGGGGTCACAAAATTGACCTGACCTTAGGTCACCGATATCAAAATTCCGAGATAGTTATTTATTTAAATTGTGTATATTGTTGCCCTTATCAATCGCTGAGCGACCGACCTCTTCAAAGAGGTCGGTCGCTCGATGTAGCATATGGAAGACGTTGAAACTTTGTATGAGGTGAGATCACTTGAAGTGACCTGGTGACCTGACCATAAGTGACCTTGGTCTACAATTTTTACATGTGCAGAAAAGATGCATGATAAGGTGTGCCAAAAACAGCCGCCGTTTTTTAGATCTTCGCGAAAAACCACAGGGAGGGTTCAAATATCCCCCCACCCCCACCCCCAGCAGGGGGCGGGATAATATCCTTGGCATTCAGTACCATCGTATTTCCTGAATCTTCTACTTGCGATTGAATGGCAAAACTGCCTCCACCCTCCCGAGCTGCTATGTGCTTGTGTAGGAGGGCATCGAGGGCAGAGAAGTGTTGTCAGCGCGTCTTGTAGAATGTAGATTTCAGTTCAGAATCTGCTCGGCTGACTCCATTTCGTAGACGACGGAAGTTAGCAATACGTACATTGTGCTACCTGTCCTGCGGCCGGCTCCAGCGCTTGCTAATCTCTTCTGCAGATACTGGCTCCGCTCCTTCTACAACCAGCGCGTCCGCAATGTTGTTCCGCAAATTCGCCCTTTTCACCGCTTCCTTATAATATTTATCTTTTTTATTATAAAGTCATGGATATTTTCCAACCAATGAAATTAATTTATAATTTGAAAAGGCCATGAGTCATGTGAAATACATACAAAAACAGAAATGTAGCTATCACTCCGTTTGAGATGCAAATGTTTTGAAATAAAAATGAAACGCCGTCAAATTTACGCTTGAATTTTATATTCTCGTGAAAAATCGCGAGACTATTAGGGCACCGTTGGTTAAATTGGTTCTGTAGCGCTGAAACATAACATTATTTCCCTCGTGCCTTAATTTCATATCACAAACGGTGGCTATCCGGCAAGGCAAAAGTTGAGATGATTTCAACTTTTTGCCGGACCGGAAAATCTGGCTCTCCGGCCTGCCGGACCGGTCAAAAGAAGTTGCCAGATTTGCCGGTTCACACCAGTTTTCAATTTTCCGGCACGGAATTGGCCATTTTTCCGGCCCGGCAGACGGAATTTTGCCGGTCCGGAATCCGGTGTGAACCCGGCATTACGTAGAATAACGGAAATTTCTGAGTATGAGCGGCCGGCCGGCCGTGCGGACGCTTTTGCGAGGCTTATATTTCAGCAACCACTTGACCGATTTACATGCGGTAATTTTTGTAGGGTAGCTTCATTCCTTCTACCAAGTATTGGACTATTCCCGATGCATGTGGGTGACCCCTTATGCACGTGCCACGTGCAAAACGAAGAGGTGTCACTTTTCTAATTGTTGCAATATCTCGGTAACTACTTGGCCGATTGCGCTGAAAGTTGGCATGTAGGTAGGCACCCACTAGGCACTGCATATCCATGTGCCAGAGTTGGGGTGCTGCTGCACGTGCGCACGTGCAGGGGTCGATTCCAGATCTCGAGAACGGCTTGACCGATTGCGCTCAAAGTTGGTACGCGGTTAGGGACCGGTTAGTAGGGTGCCGTGCAAAAGTCAGTTGGGACCCATGTTGCACGTGCGCACGTGCAGGACGCCGCTTCCAGATCTCGATAACGGCTGAGCCGATTATGCTCAAATTTGGCACATCGCTAGAGACCGGTTAGTAGGGTGCAGTGCACAAGTCAGTTGGAGGTACCCCCTCGAAATTTCGCACGTGCAAGGCCCACCCTCTCGCTCGCTCCGTTAGTCGCCCCAAAAGGCGTTATACTGGTTAATTTCATTGATAACAAATGATTCAAATATATTCATTTATGCTTGAAATAATTCGTTTTCAAAGCACTTATATATAGTTCTATCCATTATAGTTCCATTATGGTTCATTTATTCTTCGTTCTGTTCATTACGCTCGTGCGTATGCTGTCTTCAGACTTCATATGCCTAAGAAAAAATGATTTTTGCTTTGGTGTCGAGGCAAGCACGTTGAAAGTGTTAAGTTGTCCAGACTCCAGACTCCGGAGTCCATCTAATCAGATACATTCATCACTTTCATAAATCATAATTAGGTAATACATCGCAATAAGTCTAAAAACAAACACCTGCTATTGGATTTTATTCGTGTAGATACAAATCCAATGCAGAAAGCAGCTATGTTCAAACAAGATGATGTGTCATGGAAGACAAATACTTCATGCATCAACAACGTCAGTAGGTACCTACCAAAAATAGCATTGCACAAACTATCAACAAATATCCGCGCTGTTGCAAAGTCTTGACTGCACTAGCAACTAGTTATGCTGAACACTACCGCTTTGTTAGAATACCTATTGCATACATCCATTCAGATCAAATAATATCACGTCCCTGGAAGACATAAAACACTGCACAATACGCGCTCACGGTAAAACACACTGGCAAATCTCCGAAATGTCTGCCAAACTGAAGTGGCCAATCGGAACGGAACACACATATCCCAAGTCTCTCGCAATCTCCAAACTCACATCCCCACTCACAACAAAACTCAAGAGACATTCCTAACGTCTGTATCCACCAAATTTCGCAGCGCCGTTCCGAACCCGAGACCGGCCGCCCTGCTGGCGAGGGGGAATGCTTGTGCCATGTCGGCTCCCGTGCTGACGCCGCCGCTGGCCTGGGAAGCGGCGGTAGGTGGCAGCACTGTCTGTGCTCGATATTCAGAGGTGGCGCTGGCGGTGGTCGTGGCAGCCGCCGAACGGTGGCGTCCGTTGGAGGAGGAGGATTGAGGCTGACCTTCTTCCTTCAGGGAGGTGCTCTGCGTCGATTTCTTAGACGATTCCGTTGTTGACTCTGCTGGGTAGAAAGGAGGGTCAGTGAGTCAGAATGAATGCCTATGCTATGCGATTTAGGCACCCTACCTAACGAAACCCTACCTAACCCTACCTAACGAAAAGGTAACGAGCGAAACGTGAAGGTAACGGGCATATCGATAGGCAGGTAAGTATATTGACATATCGTTCACCGCGGTCGACAATCGGGAAAGGAAGCGAAGGTAAGGGGCCATGATTCATGAATGATCCGGGGAGGCATTTTGGATAAATATCCCTCACAGTGTCCGAAATGTGTCAATTTGTCATTGCTGTCGCATAAAAACCTCGTTATTTTTTGTTTGTTGTTGGAAAGAGTTAGCCTAAAATTGTAGTGCTATAAAAACGAACATCAAGGAGCTGTTTTTTCCACCGTTCCGTCATTTCCATCCTCAGGACATTGAGGCTGACCCTCCACGCCACAAGTCCCTGTTCCGGGCTGGACGGGCAGCTTTATCCCATGCGGGACTACCCATAAGAGCACGGCCGTAGCCGGGTGCGGTGAGTGCTTAGGGGGCTGGTCGGCCTGTCCTCTGGACGGGCTCAGCCCCGGCGACTCACCAGGGTGCTCTCCCAGACCAACGTCTCCCCCTAATTCCTATCATCCTTACGGCTCTGAAATGGTGTTGTCAGAAAAGGGTCCAGCCAAACAAGATAAACAAAGCTGGTTTTTAACCGTTTTGGGATTCATGCTCTCGTAATGTCAATACCATCTTCTAGCTCCGCCAATGGGTAGGGATGAGTGAATTACGCAGCTTTTTTAGCATTAAAATTGCATTAGAATTAGCCACTAAGCCAAATGCTACCAATTGGTGGTATGGTTTAAACATGGTATTTTGGTGACCCAAGCTGGGCGGCAAATAATCGATAATTTCCAATACGTGTAACGGAGCTTTGATAAGAGCGAGTGCTGCCTGTCACTCCCGTAAACATCTGCCAAAATCTGACACACGTTTGACGAGATGCACGATTCTGCAAACACATCTGGTGCGAGAGTGACTTCAGTACGGTGATATTTACCGAATCTCCTCAAAGCGACCCATCGGATTTGGTGATCTGTCACAGATCAACGACTGCGTCATCGATCGATTTCCGATACGAATTCGATCGCGTTCTGATACAGGTTCTATACGCGGCGTGACATCAGTTATAAAGGGTGCGGTGACCGGTGACGATTAGTAGATGAGTTGTCGCGTGTTGCTGATGTTAAGTCGGGTTGTTTATGCTTCTGGTGACATGGGATGGCTACCGGTGGTGCAGTGGCGGGGGGGGGGGGGGGGGTCAGGGTGGGGATGGGGGTGAGGGAGGGACGGTGACGGTGACGAGGAAACTGAGGATGATTTCTCCAGAGGAATCTCTTGATGATGAGCGCAACAGCAACAATAATCTATCTCAGCACGTGTCTTGTTTTGGAACAAATAACACACAGCAATGTGCAATCTGACCAAAACGTTTCACTGCCACACGCTGTCACTCACCGTCCTTTTTATCCTTGCCCGATTCTTTCTTCTTGTCCTTTGGTTTGCGTTTTCGCGTCTGAATGCCGTCCTTCCTCATGGATAGGGGCCGTCGGATGCCGTGTAGCTTGAAGTAGAGCCCACAGGCGTTACACACAGGCTCGCCTGAAAAAGTAGACACGCAAAAATTAAAAGAGGTGACTGATGAAGGAAGCGAACTAAGAGGGGTGCCAGAAAAAGCAAGAATATGTGATACCAAACATACAGGAATCATGGCCTCTGAGTTCTTTTCTATAATTTATAAGTGCTTATTTCTTTAAATACAGCCATTAGCAACACCAGAAAATACTCATAAGGCGTCGTATTGTACTAAATTGCCCTGCATAAAATGAAAAATCGTCTCATCTTACCATCGGCGTTTCTCCTCCAGAGAGTGGTCTGCGTGGTGCCACAGTTGGTACACATGGAGTGGAACCGGCGAGCAAACGGGGACTGTAACAGCAGACAAAGACGACACAGGGGGTCAGCGGGGCACCAGCCGGCAGGACATTTCACCAGCAGGGCACCAGCGCATCACCAACAGGGCACCAGCCGCCGGAGCAGTTCCCCAGCAGGGCACCAGCATATCTCCGACGATCGTCATGGGCACCAACTCGTCACCAACACATTACCAGCACGTCTATAGCAAGTAGAGGAAGTGAGTTTGAGCTGCACCACTAGTTTCTCGAGATGAGCTCACGATGAACAAATTGGTCACGGTCGCTGCATTTCGTCTTCTATGATGTGGTTACATCTGCAGGCTCTGGTTTGTGGCCATTGGGCGCTGCAACCTAAAATACTAATGAGTCTCGCATAGCGCTATCTGAATGTTAGCCAAAATCAAATAAACGCTTACAAATATATTTGTATATTTAAGATAATTGGCCGAAGATAGCCTAGTTGAAACAGGCATGTCAATCAGACCTTTCATTGGCTAATTATTGCTAATTATACGGGTCCCAAGGGGAACAGTTCGTGGCTATACGCACCCCCCTCCTGGCGCTGTAGAGTCGGGAAGGAGTGATGCCCTTCCACTTGGGGCTGCAGAAGCAGGTGCCGCAGAGGAAGTGGCCGGTGCCGTCCGGGTAGCACGACTGGGTCACCGTGCCGCACTGCACGCACTCGCGGAACTCTGAGAAACAAACAAATGTACCCGTTAATGTTTGCTAACAACAGCATCCGGGTACTTGTAAAGGCCAAAGAAGAGCAACTGACTACGGCCGGAGAAGAACTGGCCGAAACGTTGTGAGGCTTCGTGCTAAATCAGGACTGGGATGTAAAATCGTCTTACTAGCATTCGTAACAGGTGATGACAGTGACATCACCTATATGTGATGTCACTTTGCACTTTCCGTACCGTAGGCGCCGCGTTGCAGGCTGGACAGGCCGGCCATGTTGTTGCAGCCCCAGGCCGTCATATTGCCGGCGGGGTAGCTGTAGCCGCCAAAGCCCTGCGCCATCGACGGCTGTGCCATCTCCCGGCCACCGGCGAATTTAAAACCTCCAAAGTTCATAGCCAGCTGGGCATTGTCGGTGCCGTTCTGCGCCGTGACCCCCTGCCAACTGAGAGGGGTTCGAGGAGGCGTAAGTTTTGAAGGAAGTTGTTGTAGTCAGATATGTAATGACGTGCACCCATCGATGTGAAATAATTAAAATAACCACTAATAGCATAACTTAAATTGCAGCTGCAATAAAAAATTGAAAATATAATAAAATCAAAATAATTGAGCCTGTAGTAACGCATCACTACCTATACTGTAAAAATTCAAATAAATTGTCGCGAGAAAGGCTTACCATCTACCCCTTCCATCACTTATCAACGATGGCCACCTGCTCCCCGGTCCTTATTCCGAAGCTCATGAGCTTCGGAATAGACCGTGAAAAGAGCGAATAGCAAGTGGTCTGCGACTCTGCAGTCTTCACCACTTGATATTCGCTCTTTTCTTCCTCCCTTCCTTTCCCTTCTATTTCTCCTTCCTTTCTCGTCAGCATCCCTCACCCTGTGGTGGCCGATGTGGCGCCGTTGACAGCCTGGCTGGACATCTGGGCGCTCTGTGCGGCCATCTGCGACAGGCCGAAGATCTGGTGCGCTGGCGGCATGCACATGGCGCCGGAGAAGTAGCCGCCGCCGGCGCCGCCCTCGAGGCCGTAACTGGCCCCGTTGTGCACCCCTCCGTGGTACATGGCGGTAGGCGGAGCGCTTCAGAGGGAGGAGGACAGGGTCTTATGAGGATGGGAGAGGAGGAGAGTTTCAGTGGTCGGGGCACCGGAGATGAGTTGATTCAATTGCGTTCTAACAAGGTAAATTAATTAGGAATGTGTCAAATATCTTTCAGCCGATGGAGACAAAAGTACCCCGATGCTATTTCCTGATTCGTCGCCTTCTTGGCGAATCAGAAAACTGCAGGAGCTGATTGCGTTCCAACCGGTATCTCGGCCTGGCGTTGTCCTCTTCGTTTGGACTCAGTGCCAGAAAATTTGGACACGCTGCTCAAGGTGCTCAAGGTGCTCTGCGCTGCCCGTTTGTCTCAGAAGATGTTGAATGCAGGCCTCGCCAGGTCAGCTATTTCTGAAACGCAGAGAGGAACATTATTACTGATAGCATGCGTACATACATCAGGTAGCGACATATTTACAGCCTACATCTAGACTTTTCATCAGTGCTGCCTACATGCAAGCCATGTAATTTCGCCTGTGGTCACGGTGCTTCGGGAGAAAGCGAACGATTATATAACAGCTGCCAAACAGGATCATGGTTTATGTTCTGATTTCAGAGTTACATGTCATTGCTCGAGTACCCTCATTAGATATCATCCCACAACGTTGTACTTCTTCCAATGTCAACAGGTCCGATTCTAATCAGCATACTGCTTGAATGATCTTGCTGAATTGCGAACTGTCAGTCTCAAACACGGCTCATTCTTATTTACTCCACACCCGGGCATAACAAAACCAGCACCAGTGACCAATGGTTACCGTCATAAACTTAGCGATTTATCTCGCTAATTTCCGATCTCTCAGTGAATGAGCTTTCATATCCTACAGCCCCCATGTGCTCCACAGACTGCCCACTGTGCATCGCGGTCTCAAGTGCACCCTGCACTCGGCCTGCCGACCCGCCGCAGTCGCGTCCGCCGCTCGTCTTTGTCACCCTACATCCAATTAGCCGTCATCGTGGGGTCACAGCCGAGCACAGAGCACGCGCCAGTGACGGTGTCCGTTACACCGTCAGCACACGGCAGCCGCAGCCGCGCCGTAGTGCAGTGTTTATTTGGAGCCATCGATAGCAGCCCGCCCCCGCCCCCGCCCCCGCCCCCGCTACGGCGACGGTCGCTGCTGAGCGAATTTGACTTCCGGGCATCCCATGGGCACTGGACAGGAATGAAGTGGGTGAGGCGAGACGGGGATGGAGGTGGTTTGGGATCTTTGGGTTTTCTGAGGGAGGAGCGTGGATTGTAAGTACAACTGCTATGCTCTGCGACATCAAAAGCTTATTTGACGGTTACATACTTGGTACAATTGGTGTTGCTATGTCTCCCATGCAGCCAAAGTCTGTTTATAATCTTCCTTTTTAAATTGTAATTGAATCATTCCAAAGAATTTAGAATCGCCCGCACTCATCAATCGTCCGGCGAAAACACCATAACATTCAATCTCTACATCAGCGCTGAAATGCTGGTGAATCCTCGCACGTCTCGGTGGTTTACTTAGCGGGTCGCTCGGAAGTTAGGTGGGTCTTATACCAGGAACGGTCGCGGTCTAGTGCCTGCGCCCGTGTCCAGTGTCGCTCGGCGCGGTTTTCTCTGAAACGGAACTGTCGTGTTGTCGCTCAACTTGATTGATATACGATAATAGATGCGTTTGCATCATGTTCATGATGTCTTTCGCGGACTGTGTGATATCAACGGATTTGAGCGCGAATTATTGGACGCTTGTTCGAAGATTGTTTGACAAAGTCGGCACGGAAGTTATCATCATTTTTAACTTGTCAAACATGTAAGGAAAGAAAGCATCACTTTTATTCAGACCACAGGAACTGTTAGTCCACTGCCATTATGATAAAATTATTCCTTCAAAACAGGACGCCACAATCAATCTTTATTATTTTCATTTCATTTCATTTCACAACACCGTTCTATCATCACTTACTTATACGCTTAAAGTTAAACACACAACTTATTACAAAATTATCAAGCGCCAGGACAATGACACTCGTAGCCACAACCTGACTCACAACATGTCCATGCCCTCACCTCCCTCCCACCCCACCTAACCCCTCCCAGCCTCCCATCCCCCTCCCCCGGCCCCGGGCTGCCCCAGACTGAGTGATGACCCACCCCGGTCGTCGAGGCTGGTCTGAGACACCGTCCTTTGGCTCCCGACACCACCGGTCGACATCACAGGTGCCGGGATGAGCTGTGGCCACGGCGTGCCGTCCGGCGTGTCACATTAGGGTGACACAGAGGTGTCGGAAACGGACACAGCTGTCCCGGCCGTAGACGGACGGTTAGTGTCGGCGGGACGACGGTAGCACGGGCCCGGCGGCTGTGGTGCACCGCGAGAGATGCAGCAGGGAGTGGTGCCATGAGCCGCGAAATGTGCTGTGGTGGGGTCGGAAAGACAGGCGGGAGTGATATTTTGTGGTGGCTATGATTTTGCGGCAGGCAATGAGTCAAAAGACATGGTTATGGCACGTTGAGTCCGCATGTGCAAGAAATAATGTCTGTTTGCAATGCGACTTTAGTAATACCCTAGTGATTTATCTAATGCTTCAAACACTTATTTCTACATATTTATACAACGAACATGTTCGGATAATTATATATCTCCAGTGGTGCACGCCGTTTCGGCAGCAGGAAGCCTTACTACGCTACCGTAAAGTGGGGCTATTTGAGTCAGTGGGGCTATTTGAGACAGTATTTAAAATCGCTATAAAATGAAGATCGTTTAATTTTTATGTGATATTTTTGCTCAGGAAGGTGTGGATTCGAGCAGTAAATCGCCTGAGCAAAAACTAAGCATAAATTTCAAACGGTTTTTATGTTATAACAATTTTAAATACTGTCTCAAATAGCCCCACTGTCTCAAATAGCCCCACCTTACGGTACATTTATTTTCCTCCGAAATCTGCCAGTGCCGTTTGTTTATCAAACTCCGTTTGGTAATATGAGGTTGCAGCTTATCTGGCTATCTGGCTCGTAACGATGCGCGCTGATTACGGGGCTTCCGAGGAAATTGTATATATTTACGGCGGCGGAAGTTGGAGCGGCCCAAACAGCGTGTTCAAGTGGGTGCGGCCGCTGCTCTCGGCAGCAGGGTGCAGCCAATGACAAGAACAGGACGCGGAGGTCTGCCATCTACACGCGAAGCGCATAGCGTGCCGCTCCCTGTGCGTCTTAGAGCTCGGGTCCTTTACATTTATTGCTGGCGAAGAGACGTTTTCGAGTGCGTGACGTCACCTTCAACTGCAACACGTAGAAATAAACATGACACTGAGGTGTATCGAGATGTTTCGATCGTTATCGATTGATCAGCTCGATTTCAGTGATGTCGGATAGCGCGGCCAAACAGCGATATCCGCAGTGATAACGATTGACGCTTACGGCTTACGCCTACGATTCATTTGGCTTTACGCACGTCCAAATTTTCAGCATTGTTGATAAAAATGCAAGATAAACGTCCCTATGGATTAACGCAACGAGAGCTGTTACTGAGCAAATGCTATTGATTTGAATTGTTGAAAAACATCAGTCTTCCAAATTGTATCCCACTGACGCAAGCAAACACTTCATGCGGCAAGTTCTAGTGCCATGCTCAGGTTAAATGAGCCCGTTCTTCGTTCACCCCTTTTGTTCCGTTTCTGTCCCCTCTCCCCCTCTCCCAGTCCATCGGTCAGTGACCAGTAGCGGTCCAATTAGCCTCTGTCCAGTGGCCTCCTCCTCCTGTCTAGTCCGCAGAGCACCGATCCGTCTACAACAGACAACGGCCAGTGACCGTGGCAGGAGTGGGTATGCCCGAGCAGGCTTGGGTGCGCCACATGGCCTCCCAAAGAGCTGACTTGTGTGACAGTGCGTGTGCATCTAGTGTGCACGAACTGCACTGTGCATTGTGCAACCTTGCATACACTTCGGAAGCTTGACCTCTATGTGTGCATGTGAAATAAAATACTATTTAGGAAAATAAATCTTGCAATATTTTGCTATCAATAAGCAAAATGAATGAGGCACACCTTGCACTCCTTTCCATGTCATGATGCTATTTTCTAACTTCAGCTTATCGACATATTTTTTTTACAAAGCTTGTCTCTAGGCGCAACAACAGCTTATGAAGAAAATAAAGATATGCAAGTAGAGACAAAATAAGCATACATCTCTGGTCTGATCACACAGCCCTGATCACTGATGTCACCGGATCCGAACACGCTCCAAAACCGACCCAAACACGCGTATGAATGACCGGGCCAGCCGCCTTGCGTTCGAAGAGTGAGCCGTGATTGCAAACATGAGATACATTTACCTCATTATTGACTTTAGCGGCGCGTTGAAACGCTGTGTTTATATCTGTCCGCGGACCGCTGTCGGTCGCTCCGCTCTATCGCGTGTCACGATCGCAGATTTGTTAGGAGCTGACCACGGTCCGGCGCCCTTCTGAGCTAGCGTCACACTCCGTCACAGATCGGGAATGTGTCACGACGGTGTGACGCTCGGACGCGCCGTTAGCCGCGCCGTGATGGCCGCCGCCGCGTCGGCTCCGTCGCTGCGCGCCATCTCGAATTGTTTGTGCATCTAGGGCAGAGGCGATACGCAAGGATTTGATATCTGAAATTAACAAAGTGTACTTTGTTTTGTGCCTTGCTTTGTGGTTGTGTGACGCATGCATTCAACGAGATGTAACTAACTGGCTAATCGAGAACCTAAATTGCTTGCACGTAAAAGCTTTTGATCTTTGTGAATTGTTATTTTGTTGCGTCGTGGATTAGAGAAATATAAATAAAATATTCATTTTAAATAAGTTTGAATAAGTCTGCGACCACTAACTGCTCTCAAGCCACTAGCGGGTGTAGGCATCTAAATACAAAACCGTCATCCAGTACTCCGTCACCACGTCTCCAACAGACCCAAACCGGCTGGTCATCAACCCTGAGTCCAGCCCTTCCCCATCCAGCGTCGCACGTGCGCGATGCTGACCATATCTCGTCGGCACGCAGGTACAGCTCGGTATCCATCATCGGGGCCGACAATGGCGCCCGGCGTCGGCACCGACAGGGTCTCCGACGCGCCGCGGAGCGCGCGGAATTCACGCCGTTTCCTGTTTGGGCGGTGCGCGCGCGAGCGCCGCGCGAGAGAAGCGCGAGAGAAGCGCGAGGGCCGGGGTGCGGCTCGCAAGCCGTCGGTGTCGGCCGCCTAATGAAAATGTGACGCCCGATGAGTAATTGGGGGCGTAATGAGCCGGCACCAGCGGTGACGGGGCGTGACGGGAGTGACGGAACGGAGACGGAGAGGAGACAGAACGGAGACAGGACGGAGACGGAGAGGAGACAGGACGGAGACGGATGGGAAGCTGATATGG